ATGTCTGACATAAGCAACTCATAATTTAATTTTGTTGTTTTAAGTCGTTAAAACTGTCAAACTAGTAAATATACCTTATTCATGCAGCTGCATTTTAAGGCGTTATTTATTTGTCTGTGTACCTAGCTGCAACGAAGCAAAAAACATAGACCGATATTATGGACACGCGTCGTGCGCATAAATGGCAAAAAAAATATTGGCACGCGGATTAGCGTGAGCATAGCAGAGTTAATGTTATGTGCACGCGCAGAATTCAAACACCCAGTGGAACAAGGGGGGTTGATAGACGGAGAGGCTGCTTCAAGAAGACTGGCCCTCAAAGTTTGTTTAGGAGGTTCGGGTTCGAGTCGAAGTGTGATCAGGGAAAAAGTGCGTTCGAATAACGTAATTGCAACATTCTGCACGAGGCGTGCGCAAAGTAAAACATAGAAAAGCTGCACGACGCGTTTGAATAACTCTAAAACTGTTATGCGCGCGCGGAATCAAAATTTCAACAACGTATGTAAGGAACTGCCTGCCTACGTCAGTTCAATATTGCAATTCTCACTCGGAACCGGAGCTTGGCGCCTGCAAGACTCTGGGTAGGCCACTCCGTAGTACACGGATGCAATGCAGACGAGATGTTGCCTATCCACCAGGCGCTACGTGCGCTTTGCATCCGTCGGCCACCTACCGACACCGACGTTTGTCAATGCTCTGTACAGAATCACAAACTCGTGGCTCGCGGCGAGCTGCGCACACTACTGCTAGCGCACTGTTGATCGTACGCGTTCACAAAAGTCATAGATTTATGAAAAAACGTTATGTTGCTCTACCGGTAAGACTTGTCGCCTCAAGCAGAAAACTCTGCGTGCGCATAACGATTAACTCTCTTGTGGACACGCGTCGGGCGATCTGAAAACTAATTCTTATTCGCACAAGTATTTGGAAAACCCCGCGTGCGCATAACAGAAACAGCGTTGACCACACGCGTCGAGCTATTTTAGACCGTTTTACTAAGCGCCACGCGTTAATTGGCAATCCTCGTGCGCATAACAGTTTCGGAATTAGGCAAACGCGTCGTGTTATCTAAGGTTGTTTTACTATGCGCACGCGTCGTGAAGAATGTTGCTATTATGTTATGCGCACGCGTTGTGCAGAATGTTGCTATCATGTTATGCGAACGCTTTTTTTTCCTAACCGCACTTCGACTCGAACCCGAGTCTCCAAAACGGGATGCACGCCGTTGCGCACTCGACCAGCGATCATGGCTGGTGACCGATGTGCTTGGGACCCTACTCGTTCCACAACGCTATGCTGCACTCTTGAATTTCCCGCGTGCAAATAACAGAAACGCCGTAGAGTGCACGCGGCATGTCGCTTCAGGTTGTTTCATTATGCGCCCGTGCTTTTATTTTTTTGAGCGTGCGCATAATATTTATTGAGTTGTGGACACGCGTCGTGTATATTTTTTCAAATACATTATTTACACGAAGCGTGTATATAATCACTTCCAAAAAGACCACAGTAAACATACGTCAATTAGACTAAGAAAAGGGAGAGCCATGGCTATGCATTAATGCATAGCGCGGCGTTGGTTAGGCCACCCGAAACGGCAGGTTGCAGCGGGGCCGGCGGGACTTCCTGACAGGCGCTCACGTAGGGCACTTCGGTTCTTATTGTACGTACCACTTCGCAG